GCAGGTGAAGGGGTCACGGGGAACCCCGGGCAGGTGAAGGGGTCACGGGGAAGCCCGGACAGGTGAAGGGGTCACGGGGAAGCCCGGGCAGGTGAGGGAGTCACGGAGAGCCCGGACAGGTGAGGGGGTAACGGAGAGCCCGGGCAGGTGAGGGATAACGGGGAGCCCGGGCAGGTGAGGGGTGACGGTGAACCCCGGGCAAGTGAGGGGTAATGGGGAACCCCGGGCAGATGAGTGTCCTGGCGGCAGAGCTCAGGAAAAGAAGAGGAGGAGGTGACAGTGATTGTGCTGAGCGCCCCAGAGCCCTCCTGCTACACTCGCTGCCCTCCTCTGCAGAAGTCGTAGAGAGGAGGGGAGGGAGGGGGGGACCAGGGCCATCTAGACAGTCAGCATTGGATGGGTGCTGGGAGCCTGTTCACATTTTTGAGCCTCTGTGTCTTTGATGTTAGGTTGAATTTGACCAGTTCAGCCCCAGAACCTTCTAGGACTCCTGGCCCAGGTGGGGAATTTGAGCTTCTCCACCCGAGGAGGAGCTGTGCAGAGCCACTGGGAGCCTGTGAGGAGCAGCCGCTGCAGCCACGGGCATGTGGTGTCAGGCGTGTACCACTCAGAACACAGCCTCATTTGAGTTAAGAATGATTCAAAGTGAGAGGTGGTCTTTGGAAAAATCGTTCCCATTCTGGGTAAAGATAGGCCAGTCCTCTTGAGTGATCCTAGAAATCACTCAAGTAATTCTAGAAATAAAATTTCCCAGTGGTTTTGATGAGCGTGACAAAGTTTCAAAGACAGTAGGCTACATGTGCCGCTGGAAGTCCACACTGAAGGTATGGAATATTGACATTATCAATATCAACCTCTGATATGTGAATATCAGTATCTTATAGTGTCCAAAAGAAAGTAATTCCTCAGAGACCACCTAGCATTCGCAGCCAGTATGTAACCTACAAAATGCCTCATAGCAACATTAACTGCAGAGATCAATTTGTGAGATGACCACTTTATTAAATCACCAGGTGTTGAACACACTTGAAAAGAAGCCTGTGACCGGGAAATTACTGCCATATATCCGACACCAGTGCTTTGTGTGTGTTAAGGGTTTGCTCTGAGGCCCACTTTCACCGAGAACTTCATCATGGGCTTCTCCCAGGGCCTCAGGAGGCAGATGGAGCTGGGGAAGCCCCTGAGCCGAAGGCGGCTCACTCCCCCGTCAGGGACAATGATGAGCCTCGCGTGAGTGATGACATCTTGGAACTCCAGGGTCAGGCTGTCGAACAGGTGACTTTGGTTGGGGGACAGCTGAAAAGCAAGCAGATGCACGGGATCCTAGTCTGCTAAGAGGGCATGCGTGGCCGAATGACCCCACACCCAGGGCAAACCTTTGCCTTGGACTTGGGCTTTAAAATAAGTGATTCATTGATGATAATTGGGCTTTCCATGAAAATCTGTTAGTAGGGACAGGATGCCCAAATAATACATGAATAATCAGACCCCAATAAACAGCTGATGGGCAATTTAAATGCCCATCAATTATCTCTTATAGTTGATTATACATAAGCAAATTGGTAAGAAAATGAAAGATTATCTTGGTCTCTCCCCGAGGTTATTTTCTGTCTTTACATGGGAGCAGCTCTCACCTCCAGCCTGACCCTCTTTCTAAATCAAAGAAGACACTTGTGAAATATCTCGGAGTGTCCATCCTGCAGGTGGACACTCCATGATCGCTTTAAATGTGCTAGTCACCCCATCTACAAAGTTTCCATGTATGCATTCTGAGCACTTAACAATCTCGTTCTAACAAAATTTGACTAGAAATACAAAAGTGGAGAGAAATAGAGCCTTTCTTCTCATTTAAGTTAGCAGATATGGGTTTTACAACCTCATTCATTTTACCATTAAACTGAGCAGAAACCTTGGAGTTGTATCCTAATCCTTCAAAAGAGAATCTTAGGGAAATAGCCCAGGCTGAGTGCTGGCTCCTACCAGCGCCACACGAACCTTGGTCACGGGAAGCAAAGGTTTCCACCTGTGGGCCGGGAGAGTCCACTTTTGCTTGATCATGTCTTCTTCTTCCTGAGTTGTCAGGATGCACCCATCCACTTTACAGCTGTCAGGAGCATTGCCTGTTGCAGCAAAACACAGAGTGACTTACTGCCCTTGTGATAAGAATGAAAAGCCCAGCAAAAGCAGAGGTATGAAGATGTGAGAGAAGGAACAAACCAGTTTGTGATGCTCAGATTGCCTCATGAAATAGACACTTCCTTTTCAGAGCAATCAGAAGCAGTCCACCATTTGTGAAGGGGCTGGCGCACTTCAGTTTGAATGCATAGTGTTCTTACTTTGAAATCTGAATGTATTTGATAAGCTTCCTCAATTGCAGATTTAATTACTTGCAGACTGCTGTGTGGCTCATGTGAAATTATTATGAAGATGGAAAATATTTTCCTATGATACCATATTTTTTAACATGATGATCAAAAGGAAATACTGAGTTATATGTTAGCTAATGCTGGGCATCAGTCACACACATCTATTTGGGAATTTCTGACTCATCTTCAGGTGAGAGTATACACTCCTGCGAGTCTTCTGTCTTTGGAATACCACAGGAATCGTGTGCTCAGTGGGGTTAGAGGACCCTGGGGGGAAGGTCCCCCTCTCTTTATGAAGAACGCTTCTAGCGTGGCTCTTTGAGACTTTAAGACCCACAGAGAAGAGCTGCTAATCAAGAACCCTGTACAAGAGGAGGCAACGGCTCACATGCCCCCTTTGTGGCCCATCTCTTAAAATGGTGGTCTCCAGGATGGCTGAACATGCCTCTGGGGTACATAGAGACACAAGGGATGCAAGTAGAGAACATTAGGGACGCTATTTCTATTTGATATACATACGTGTGTGTGTGTATATTAAGCTTTGTGTATTTGATATAACTTACTATATTGCTATAAGTGGATGCTCCCTGATTTCCATGATAGTCAGCATATTGTTCCAGAGGTATCCTGAGTGATTGACAGTGGTAGATTACCTGTTGCAATTTGGGTTACCTCCTTAAGTGGATTTACTGTTTAGTTTTAACTAAAGCATCCCTCACAAAAATAAACAAGTTATTTTAAACCATTCATGCAGAGAACTGTGGATTAAACATACCACAAAAAATGCAAGCATGTATGAACAAGAAAAGAGCAGAGCTGCCATTTCACCTGACCCTCAGTCAGCCACATTGAAAAGAAAAAAACATGGCCACATAACCAGGTCTAAAATGCAGTCTTAAAAAACAGGCAGTGGGGAAAGGTGTTGGGATAACTGGCTAGCCATATGCAGAAGATTGAAACAGGCCCTTCCTTATACCATATACAAAAATCAACTCGAAATGGATTAAAGGCTTAAAACTATAAACACCCTGGAAGAAAACTTAGGAAATAGCATTCTGGACGCAGGAACTGGCAAAGATTTCACGATGAAGATGCCAAAAGCAATTGCAACAAAAGCAAAAAAAAAGACAAATGGGATCTAAGTAACCTAAAGCTTCTGCACAGCAAAATAAACCATCAACAGAGTAAACAGACAACCTACAGAATGGGAGAAAATGTTTTCAACCTATGCTTCTGACAAAGGTCTAATATCCAGAATCTATAAGAAATTTAAACAAATTTCCAACCAAAAATAACCCCATTAAAAAATGGACCAAGGACATAAACAGACACTTTTCAAAAGAAGACACACACACAGGCAACAAGCATATGAAAAAATGCCTGACATCACTAATCACTGAGAAATCAAAACCACTGTGAGATACCATCTTGCACCAGTCAGAATGGCTGTTACAAAAAAATCAAAAAGTAACAGATGCTGGCAAGGCTGTGGAAAAAAGCGAACAGATATAAACTGCTGGTGGGAGTATAAATTGGTTCAGCCATTGTGCAAAGTGGTATAGCGATTCCTCAAAGAACTAAAATCAGAATTACCATTTGACTCAGCAATCCCATTATTTGGTGTCTACCCAGAGGAATATAAATCACTCCACCATAAAGACACATGCACGTGTATGTTCACTGCAGCACTGTTTACAATAGCAATGACACAGAGTCAACCTAAATGTCCATCAGTTGTAGACTGGCTAAAGAAAATATGATACATATACAACATGGAATACTATACAGCCATAAAAACGAAGAGATAATGGCCTTCACAGTAACATGGATGCAGCTGGAGACGATTATTCTTAGCAAACTAACAGAGGAACAGAAAATCAAGTACCATGTGTTTTCATAAGTGGGTGCCAAATAATGGGAACACATGGGCACATGGACACTGGAGCCTACTTGAAGGTGGAGGGTGGGAGAAGGGAAATCAGAAAACATTACCTACTGGGTACTATTGGTACTTGATACCTAGGTGATAAAATAATCTGTACATCAAACCCCCATGACACGAGTTTACCTATATAACAAACCTGCACATTTACCCTTAAACCTAAAATAATAATTAAAAGAAAAAAATAGATAAAATGCAGTCTTTTTTAAATAAGTTAAAATTATCTAGACTTCTTCGAATAACTATTGGCACTACTGTTGATGATGAGCCTAACCTTAAACTTGATATCATGGTTAACAATTGAGTAAAATCACAATAATTCCCAAGATATTGAAAAACCACTCACCCAAAACAT